CCTTCTCCATTGCTGGTGGGAATGTAGACTGGTACAACCGTTATGGAAATCAATGTGGAGACTCCTTAGAAAACTTAGACTGGAAATCCCATTTAAACCAGCTATTCCTCTGCTGGCAATTTTCCTGGAGGATCTAAAAACATCATATCATAGGGATATATGTGTGCCTATGTTTATAGCAGCACAATTTGTGACAGCCAAATTTTGGAAACAACCAAGATGCCCATCACCTGAGGTATGGATGAAAAAGATGTGGCATTTTTGTACAGTGGAGTATTACTCAGCTATAAAGAATGATAAACTCGAAGCCTTTATATTGATTTGGATGCCACTTGAAGATATAAGTGAAATAAACCAGACACACATGTGTAAATATCCTATAGTTTCCCTAGTATAAGAACTCAAAAGAAGAAATACAAATAGAAAGTTATAAGTAAAAGGAAAGCAAGAACTTGACTAATTAAGAGAGGGAAAGAAGAAGAGCTAGGAAACATGACAGTGGCAAGCCATACACTTATACGTACAAGATGGTAAGGCAATGATCTTGAGAATCTTCAGAAGATTTTTGAATCTAGCAGTTAATTGAAAAGAGTCTCACCCTGACTACCTATATATATATACTGACACCTGTGAACTAAGCAACTGCACTGAAGATGGAAATTTGTAATAGTAGGTTCATACTTGCAGTGCTTGTCATTCTGGTCTTCTGAATACAGGCTGCTTGTCATGACATGCCAGTTGCTGTCGTGCTGTCTCTTGGGTAGATGATTGTTCAAAAAGAAAGGGGTGTTGAATGAAGGCAGGAGACAGGAAAAGGAATGTTGTGGGACTGTCCTGCTTCAAGGTTGTATATGGTTAGATTTTTGGATTCATGTGTAAATATAAGAATCATATAATTTGTTATACCTATTTTTAAAATACATTCTAATTTTTAAATGTTTTTTCATCATTCTGTAGGGACTTAAGGTTCAACATATCAATACTTGGTGAAAAATACCTGTTCCATGATATGCCTAAGATGTTTGATATTCAGACAGATAGTGAGGTTAAGCTTAACCTAAGCCTAGGTTATATGGTAATAACAATAATCTTCTCTTCTGGAGGGTTAACAACCTAAGTTTGCAGACCAAAATTAGATAAAAATGAGGGCCGCAAGGAAAGCCAACATTTTGGTCCTAGCCTTCCAAGGTCAAGTAAGGCTCAGGACATATGAGAACTTGTTCTATAATGTCATGTTACTCAGTAGTGTCCCAAATTTTCTGATCAAGGTGATTATGGGGCCAAAGAGGAAAATGATCGATGATGTAGAGCGTGCCTAAAGAGAGTCACATGGAGAGAAAACATTTTCTCAGGCTTTCCCCAGAGCACATGGGCCAAGCAATGGCCGTGACTCATCCGCATGGCTGACACTGACAAAAGTTCTACAATCCGAGGTACAGGATCTCAGGATAAATCCTGAGGTGATTTCACTGAGTTTATCAGACCCAAAAGCTGTAACTCTTGTGCATAGATCTTGCTTTATCTTGGTCTTAACCATCCAGCAGAAAAGTTTAAAAATGAAGCATAAGAAGTAAAGCCATGCTGTTATGTTGAGCTGTAGGGAACTCAGGTCAACAATTTCTGATGTAGCCAGTCAAGTGGAAGACCCAATACTATTATGGACTACTGTACTCTTTTAGAATATTTTGCCGAGTTAACACACCTATAGTATTCAAATGATGGAACTAAGCAAAAAAGGGGATACAGATGAATGTCCATTTTGTATCTGTGTATTCAAAATGGTTATGATAGATATATAGTTACATTCTCTTAATGAATAG